ATTGTATGGCTCATAATGAGACAGGGACTGGAGATGGTGTTTAAAGATAAAAGAGGTATTTTTTAGCATCCCAGAATGAAGGACTGGGAAGTTGTAAACTAGAAGTGAGCTGTATTTAAAAATGTAGCACTCTTATTTGTCTGACGGGTTAGTGAGAACTTAGATGAGGCACAGTGATTTCTCCTGTCTGTCATTGAAGAAAGCCAAGTAATGTCACTTGCAATTTAAAAACATTTCAGATTGTGGTTTAATTTTTTCTGTTTTATCATTTTTGATGGATCTGAATTCTGCTGAGAGAAGTAGTAGGGGCTGTAAATTTGTTCTGACGTTCTGATTTGCTTGTGTGATTGCCACACTGTGGGTTTTAATGATACCTGTGTATGTGTGATGGTAAATGACTGTCTGCACTTTGCAAAACAAGTGTACAGACAGCATGAAGAGGAGTGATGGGAGAGGGTTGGATTGTGTCAGAGAGCCATAGGTTAAGTGCCACAGTTGTTCTTTCTCTCTGCCTACATCATCCTCTGGATAAAATGCCTCCACTTTTTTTTTTTTTTTTTTCAGCTGGCATGCAATTGTATGATTCTTAAGGTGAAAAATAACCTTTTGGGTGCTTCACTGTCACCCACAGAAGGGAGGTCTTCTGTCTTTTGCTGGCTGTGCTCATCATAGCCTTTTCTGAGCTGTTTCAGCTTGCCAACCACAGAGAGCTGCTGCTGCTCCCCACCCACCCGTCAGCTTCCTGCCACATTAATGGGTTAAATTGGGTTGGTGGAAGATTTAATGGGTACCACTTGGAGCAGAACCAGAGCAGGGGGAGGATGGGGAGAGAAAAGCATTGCTGGGGGTTGGTGGAGAGAGGCGGTAGCATGTAACTTCTGGCTGAGATTGGATCAGACATTATCTTCTGTCAGGGCTGTATTTACTGCCTGGATTTTTGCAATTCTTTCCCTCCTAAGTGTTTATCAGTTGAAAGGAGGGTACAACCACATTTTAAACCATTCTCAGAAATACTGATAAGTAATGCTTCTCAGCAGAGGCAAGCCCATAACAAAAGGAGGAAGGAAGGGACTTAAGAGAGCAAAGAAAAATGACTATACAAGAAGATTTTCCTAGAGGCTTGTCATCTTGGGATGTGACCTTGGAATACCTTAGAGGTGATCCAAGAAGACTTTGTGCAAGGCTGTGCGAGATGAGGGGTTTCTAGCTCTGTGGGGTGCTGCTGAGCTGCTGGCTGAGGTACTTTGCAAAATCTGTGTTCACTGGGAAACACTGGACGCGAACTTGGAAGAGCAAAATGGATGAGGTTAAAGCTCTCTGGTGCTTGGTTGTGAATCTGTTGCAGTCCAAGTGCTTCTCTCACCCCTTCTGCCACTTATGTGTAATTTCTGGAGACTTGGAGCTTCCTGACCAGATTTGCAAAAGGTTCTCTCGTGTATTTTGAAAGATGACGACGTTTATTATCTGAAGGATTCTGATCAAACTTAGGATGACCATGATGCCTTCCCTCCCAGCCTTTGAGAGGAGTAATGGCCTGTTCATGTGTGTTTTGTTTACTCTCACTTTTCCTTTCCTACGATGCAGCTAAAGTTTAGAAGACCACTGCAGTGAATAAGTATTTTCCTTCAAACTTCTTGTGTCCTGTATTCAACGTGCACTGGAACCATACCTTTAAATTGCAAATTAAGAACTGATAGCCACGTGGGCTGCACGCTGGGTATCCAAAACTCTGGCTTCTGAATTTCTCCTTTGAGATTTTTTTTTTTAAATGAAATTGTTGAAAATGCAAGAGGTTTTTAGGCAGTGATGAGAACTTCTGTGTATCTGAGGTCCTGTAGCAGAGGCTTCTTCTGTGGATGGGAACAAATTACACTGCAAGCAATGCAATTTCTCCATGTGTAAATATTTAGGTCATTGTGCATTTGTCAGTGAAACCATTGGGGGTTTCTATGTTTTGTGTTGCACCTACCCCAGAGAGAAGTGCCAATCTACAAGTTCCAGCTAAGGACAGGGACGCTGTGGTGTTAAAACATTGCAGGATTACCAGTACGGGTTCTTGGTGCTGTATAGAAGGAGAAAGGAGAGTGCAGGAGATGGGGTGTGAGCTTCAGATTTGGATGAAGTCTGGTTCAAGTGTCACCTTTGCACACACACACATATAGTTGATCTTGGGCATATGGCTCAGGTTTTCGTGCCAGGTGTGTAAATGGGATTATTGGTGCTTCCTTCCTCCAGGGGCACTTGAAATTAAATCTGTTGCAAAGCTTGAGATACTCAGGTCCTACAAAACTGAATGACAAATAAAAGTTACTTAAATCCTATTTTTATCCAGCATTGAGCCAGAGTTTTCCCTTCAGCCTCAAGAAGCCCTGGGCCAGTGCTGAGGGTGGGGAAGTGGTCTGTCCCCTCACAGTGCTGGTGCAGAGTTGCAGCATCTCAAGGCGGGATCGTGTGTCACTGAGATATGTGAAACAGCAGCAAAACAGAAATCCTTAAATCTGAAGTCTCAGTCCCTTTTTTCAGCTAAGTAATATTTTCACCTCACCCAGTCTCTGTCTAAAAATGAAGGCTGGGACCAGGAACAAACCTCTCATTAGGCTCCTTCTTATGAGACTATTAGGCTCCTTTCATTTCAGGTGGGTCAGCATACCTCCAGAACACTCTCTCAGGCCTGCCCCGGCCCAAGAGGTTTTATAACACCATCTCCTTCGTGCAGACCTGTAGTTTTCAAAGCTGGATGAGGAGGGGAGCAATCACCCACCTGGGACATGAGGAGAGTAGAGGCTTCCCTGGAGGCTTGGCTGGCAGAAAAGCAGCTATGTCCAGGCCCGCTCAGCCATGCTACTCCCCTTCAGCATGCATGGCTGTGGGAGCCAGGGCCAACGAAAGCTTGAAAATTTTATTGCACGTTATTTATTTATTTGTGCAGAGTTAACTTTTTCTGCTGGTCGGTTCCACTGCCCGCTTCGCTGTGTGGCTGCACAAATATTTGCACTGGGAAACAGCGGGGGGAGTCGCTTGGTGCGAGGAATATGCAGCCAGGACAGAGTGGAGAGTGAAGGCTGTTTGAATTGGCTTCAGCCGTGCTGTTGGTCAGTGTCTAGCTATGTCTTTTGGGCAAATGGTGATCTGAATTTCATAGAGATACTCATCTCAGCAATGGGCAAAGTCGTTTCTCCAAGCCAGGATTCTGCTTAGAAAAAAAACTAAGTTCCGAGGTTGAATGTTCACCTGCATTATCTCTCACTAAATATTTTTACATTTTATGTATGCTTAAGAAAATATAATCCTTCCAGATTCAGCCCAGAAATGGCAAAATGTTTGCATAGCTTGTGGCCATACTTCACTATGGAATGATTTTTCAATTTGGTTGATTGCTTGGCTAAGACTGTTGCATTATTTTTTCCTGTAAAGCATAACTATTAGTCTGTCTTTAATAATTAAAATGGTGCTTTCCCTGTGTCCATGTTACAGTTTCCTTGAAACTGCTGTGCTAGAGGGTTAGATTTCTCCTCAAAGTGCTCCAAAGGGTTTTGCAATGCAAGAAACAAATGTTTTCAGATGTAAGATTGTATTAGAATGAAGTTGCTGGAGAAGGGCAAGAGTGCATCTGTCACAAGAGGTGGAAAATACACAGTATTAAAACAACGTGGCGTTTCCTCCACATGGTCTCTTCTCTCAACTGAGAAATACAAACGGGGATGTATTTTGATAAAGAGCTGTAGTGAAGCTATTTAAGTAGTGACATAACTGATAACTACTCAGCAAATAATGAAAAACTGATGCTGCTCTGCTTGCTGTTATTTTCCTTAGGCCTTCCTCTATAGTATGCTACAAAATAGCATTTTAAAGTACACCTGATAAAGACGTACTGCCTTCTGCCTCCCAGTCTTGCCTCTTGCTCTTTGGTTACACTCCTGTGCGCAGGATTTAGGTCCCTATTCCATGCCATGCCTATGGCCAGTGTGGTTTCCAGAGCTGAATGTTGGACTCTGTCCTTCTGGAAATGAGCTTCAGTAGAAAATGGCGTGCATGTATCCTTCCCACTGAAACACAATGGAAGGAAGTCTGTGCCCATCCTCCACGTGTGGTGCTTTTGGGACTGAATTTCTGCCAGGCCTTTTAATGTTGTCCATCAGTCCAAGTCACGTGGATGGGGTTTCTCTGTGGGTTGGGTGGCTGGGAGCTCGGACACATTAGTCTGGTGTGTAATTGGCACCATGTTTGAGTTCAGAATGTGAGGAGCATATTGGGAATGTACTGGGGGATTCTCGAAAGCCCTGTGTGACATGCATGCCTCTCCTTTCCCTGACTTAACTAAAAACTGAAGGGGCTTAAGTTTCCCTTGACAACTTGGGCCCTCCAGCTTTCTTTTTTTGGAGTTAACCAGTTTAGTGTGAGCGATACAGTGGTGGCAGCAGGTAGGAAATAGCAGATGTTCTGCAGAACTGTATTTATTAGCCATAAACGTGGCTGGGTGGGACGCTGGGCACTGACACAGCCGGGCCCTCGCCCTCTACCAAGGGACGTGCAGGGCACAGAGAAGGGAGCCATGGAGGGTACGGCAGGTGGGTCCTCTGCTGTTGGGGATGGAAGCGAAGAGCCTTTCCCCATGGTTTGGAGGAAGCGGGGTGCGGAGGCTGCACCTGCACCGTGCCAACAGCAGGAAAAAAAAAAAAAAAAAAGAAAAAGGAATAAAAAGCCACCCAAAAGGGAAAGCGGGGAATAAAAAGGCTCAGGTGGCAGCCGAGGCTTGGAGCGGGGCCGTGCCAGCACCACCTGCAGCCCGAGCCGGCCCGAGCCGAGCCGCCGCCCGGGGCGTGCCGAGCTGTGCCCCGCCGCGCCGCCCGGCCCCGCGGTGAGTCACCGGCCGGAGCCCGGGCACCACTTCCCCCTCGTCAGGAGCCATTTTAACTGCATGAAGCTGCGGGGCGGCCGGGGGCGCGGCGCCGCAGGCCCCGCTGCGAGGCGGCCCGGGAGCGGCGTGCGGGGCGGTACGTGTTGTTCTGGGGCGGCGGCAGGGCGGGCGGAGGGACCGTGGCAGCTCCTCCGAGGGTCTGGGGTGTGAGGGAGGACCTCTGCCGAGATGTTGCGGGGAGAACTGAGCCGCAGGTTAAAGCACCGTTCGGCACACGAGTGCTGTGAGCGCCGTGCGTGTCGCTTGGGGCGAAGCTCCGCGGCCGCTCGTTGACAGCAGCGCACTTTAAAAAGCGCTCGCAGTTGCGCTGCGCTTCGGGCACGCTGTCGTTTTTAAGACGTGTCGGTATCTCCGGCACGCTGCTGCTGCTCTTACTGCCTGGGTGGCAGCTCAGCCGCCTATACAACGTTCAGTATGTTTCATCTATTGTATGAATAGCTTTCAGAACTCCGCACGGCCGGGCACAGCTGGAGCCAGGCGCTGCTCACACTGAGCACCTTTGCTCTGCCAGCTCTAAGATGGCAGGGCCGGGCTGCCGAGGGCTCACCTCACACCTCGCCCCGCTGCTCTGCTTGCTGCCAAAACGGCCGAATTCGGCTGCGGCTGCCTCGGGGTGGTTTTAAAATAGAGGAAGTTGAAATGTAAAGTATATAAAAACGGGCCGGTGCTCTCCTTTCCTGAGAAAAAGAGATGATGAAAGTGGGGGGTTGTGAAAGTGTGGTTGTGGATGCAGAGGGGACGGAGCAATTGTAAAAACGGGGTTAGCGGTGGTTGGAGCAGGAAAATCCTTGAGGTGGTGCTCTGTCAAATTACTTTTCAGCTTTGGATGCAGGAAAAGTGCCTCGATGCCCCTAATTGCGTACTTCTGAACTCGAGCAAAATACCTTGAAAAACAAACGCGTGTTTCCATCTTGTTTGTAGTTGGACAGAAACGTACGCTAATAGCTTTAGAAATTTGGTCTGGGTAAGAAGCTTTGGACCCCGTGCTTGAGGCTCTCAGTTTGGCTGAACGTCTTCTGCTTGGAAATGAGTGACAGGGAACTCCAGCTATTACACAGAGGGGAGTACTTCGCAGTTTCATTTGCTGTTTGAAGCTGATATGTGACAGTATAATGGAGGCTTGCTTAATGCTGTGATCGGTTACAGGGGAGGGAGGGAAAGAAGGAGGGAGGCAACCATTAAGTACATGGTCATGTTTTGGGTGAGGCTGCCTTTGCTGCTTTCCCCAGTTTGCTCGTATCTTCCTTCTGCACCTTATGGTACGGTGTGTTTTTCCTGTGTTTGATTTTACGTTTTGCCTTTTTTTTCTATCTTAAATCAACATTTTTTTGTATGGGCTGTGGGAATTTGCTTGGCGTGTTGTTTCATTTTACAAATCCACAGAGGAATTGATAAAGCGACAGAGGAACCACTTGGAAAGAAACTGTTTTGAGTAGGTGGTAGAAGTTTCTTTCTGAAGGGCTCTTTAACGGATTTGCATCTTCCGTTTCTGTCGTGTGTTTTATTTTCAGCTCTTAGGGCTGAGCTAACAATTGCCTGTCGCGCTGGCAGCCAACAGCACAAGCTTTCTTCACCTCTTTCCTTCACTTCTTTTTTGTGTACCAGATCCTATCAAGACATCCAGCCTTAAAATTTCAAGCTGTCCTGTCTTTAGCTCCCAAGCCTCCACACCTTCTCTTGGGCGGAAGGGTAAGTGCTGCTGCTTTCCCTTGAGCAGGGCTTCGTGAAGGGGCAGTTCCTCTTTGAAGGCAAAGCTGCCATGTCTGTGAGCTGCTGAGCGAGGATGGCACAAGGACTACGGAGGCTTCTGGGGAACAGTGGTAGGAAAGGTGATCTGAGATTTCTCTCAGCCTGATGGATACTGTCTTGAACAGGTCTTATAGGAGGCAGATATGTGGGTTAGAAGTGAAAGAGATGGCTTTTTTTTTTTTTTGTAGCTGAAGCCTCAATCTTAAGGAATCCCCTATTTTTTTTTTCTCTCTCCCTAAGGCAGGGATCTTTCTCTCTGGATAGAGTTTGGGTTTGTTGAGAGATGAGCCTTGGAAGTAGTATTGTTAGAAGCCAGTTAGTTTGGACTCTAGCTCCAGACCCATGCTTTTGCAGAAATGCTGTTTTCTAATGTATTCTTTTTTTCATCCGTTGACTGATAGAATTGCTAAGTCCATGATCTTGGCACTCAAACAAGAAAAAAAAATGGAGCGTACGGATTTTAAGAATGTTGTTGGCCTGGTAGAGCCTGATGTTTCAGTGTTGCTGCAAACTCAGACTCTACTGGTGTTCTTTACTCTTTGGACAATTGTGTGCTTAGAAAAACACATGAGGTGTATATACCCTTCTTTTTTTTCAGCAGGGCTGCATTCAAGGGTAGGGAGACTCCAAGCGCTCTGTGCTGTGAGCTGCTAGGAAAGGCTGTGGAACATAAATGCAAGATTTGCCTTTATATCAGTGAAGAAGCTTAGATCTCTGAACCAGCTTTTACTTCTTGAAAGCATTAGTAAAATTTTCTTAAATTTCACTGGCAGATTTTGTTGTTTGCGCTGACAGTTTGGTAACTTCTACGTTTTGTTGAGTGGTGAAGAGCAGCAAAGACTTTTCCTCCTGGAGTGATTCAGTAGAGGAGTGGCAGGAGGTGGTGTTGATGTTTCCAGCCATGGTTGTGCTCTACTCTTATGTGCGCTGAAGCTTTGCTACCATGCACCAATGATTTACCGTGCTTATCCTTTTAACGCCACTGATGTGCTTTAGAGATTATTTGCTTTCTTAAATTGTATTTAAGTGTTCCTTCCCAGATAAAGTGTTTGACAGACTATACGTGCTGAAATTAGAAGTCCTTTTCTTATCATAAGTCTGCTGCAGCAATATGAAGTGCTGTAGACTTTCTCCCTCTCTTGATATAAAGTGCTGATCTCTGAAGAGGTAAAAAAAAAAAAAAAACAACCGATTTTTTTTTCTTTAGTATGGATCTGTCTGCAGAACTTCCAGCTGTGTCGGTCTTTGTGCTAAAGGGATCCCATTAGATAGGGAGTGAAGTTTATGCATTCTTACCTTGATGTGTTTTAGGCCTTGACTACCTAATGGCTGTCTTTAGTGAGGAATTGTGTGGCTAGAGCTCAGGTCATTTATCTGTCCTTAAAGAGATCAGTCATCTTGTGTCACATGTGACTTTGTTAGGGTTTGAATGTGAAATGATATCCATTTTGTTAGCCTCCGGAGAACTTTCAATTCTCAAACCTGTATGTAAAAGTTATTTTTACATATTGTGGAAAAATTTTTTGCAGTTAAGATAATTTGCTAGGAATAGGAATACCAAATATATAGGTTGGAAACTGTGGGAAAGTGTTGTTTGTAGAAGCAGGCAGTGACACTCAATCCATCTATAATTGGCATTTTCGGCTATTTCTAGAATCCTCTATATTTAGCTAATCATCAACGTTTCTGTGTGAATACATCAGATTTTTTTTTTTTTTTTTTTTTTTTGGAGGGATGTTTTGCACTTCCTGAGTGGTTACTGTCAGTGCACAACTGTCTCATGGCTTCATTTGAGAGCTCCTAATTTGGGTTTATCCTCTCGCATGGTGGTGGTTCAAAGTGGGCTCAGCATAAATGTCTTCCCACACTCGTTCAGAATTGGAAGAAGGGGGTCAGCTTGATTCAGATTGCTGTCTGCTGTTGAAAGAAACATAATATATATCATGGCTGTGTGCACCATTTCATCATCCTGTATGTTTTTCTAGATGTACTTGTGTTTTACATGGGACATTTTGATACTTAATGAAACCAGCGGGTCAGGAAAAGGACGCTTTGCTTTTGTGAGCTTTGTATCAGGTCACTTGTGCTGTTTTCCATTTTCAAAGTGTCTCAGTATTTGTTCAGTTTTGTATTACAGCTAGGGAAAGAAACGGTGAAATGTGATTGTGAAACTGCAGTAACAACTTGTGATTCCTAGGGCTGACCACTGTCAGGAAATTAATGTTTAACTTGCTTTTCCAACCAGACTCAATTTCAAGTTAAAAGTAAGTTGATAAGGATACTTTTAGTTTTCTCCTCTTTGTGTGTGCCACGCAGAATAGTTTAGGAGCTAGAGAGTAATTTCCCTAGGATGTAATGGCATGAATTGTTTGTGGAGGTTGTCTCTCCAACCAGAAGAGGACCCTCTTTGGAACAGCTTTCTTGAAAGCCTGCTGTCTTCTTGCTGCCTGCTGAAGGCAAAATCTGGCCCTATTCCTCGGAGGTGGCTGTTGCATTATCCACTCCCAATCTGTTGTTGCGTTTGCTGCGCTGTGCTGTTATTTTTTCCCCTCTCCAGAACCTCTGTAAACTATTTGCTCTCCGTAGCTATTCAAGAATTGTAACAGTGCTGCAAATGAAGCGTGGGAGCTGAATAAGAGATTAGCTATCAGGAAAATAATGTACAAGTTTACATGCTGTGGTGGGGACACTGCAGCAAGGCTACACAAATCGAAAGAATTTACTTTGCTGGGTATGTGTGCTTCTGAATGAGTTTGTGGAGAACTGTGAGCCCAGCAAGGTGCTCCAGGTGCCTTCCCTGACATATTAAAAAAGGGTGAAATCCTATGTTGGTTTTTTTTCTTTTTTTTCTTTTTTTTTTTCTTTGTTTTGTTTTAATAGTTTAATTTCAAAAAGAGAAAAGAAGGAACCGTAGAGAGGAAGTGTCTGTTGGGGGACTTTTTTTTCTCTGTGAAGGTGGTTTCAGACATACAAAAATGAAACTTTCTGTGTTGAGAAGCGGTCTTGAGTTTGCTTGACTGCAAGGTAACTTGTGTAGCATTTGTAAAAGCGTTGAATCTTTTCTATTGGAAAAAGTGTATTTCTTCCAGTATCAGCTAAAAGCAACATTAAAATAAGTTGCTTCAGGAGCAACTAAGAGAACTATAATTTTAGTTTATCTGAAGGGGCAACAACGTAGGAAGCCAATAATTTGGACCGGTTAGAAATGGACCTTTGGGGGTGTCTTCTGAGAGGAGAACTGAGAAGAAAAGAACTATTGGTTGAAAATATTCCTAAATGTGTACTTCTGGTAACTATGTATTTTTCCACGTAATAGGATATGCGACCATTTGTTTTTATGAGAAGCAAATTATCTTTTCATATGATCCTTCGAACGAGCTCTATTAAATGTTTCAGCGGTAATGGAGTAGAAATAATTCAGAAGAGTAACAAATGTCAGAAAGCTTTTGCCAAACTGCAAAATAAGAACTCTGTATCACAAGTGTTTTGATTAGAAATAACAGGGCTATTTATAGAAAAGATGTCATAGTTTTGAAGTCATACAGCTAGAAAAGGATGTGTTTTGTGTTGTAATGTATATAATATTTAAAGCTTCTCTTACACGTGCCTTATCTTCTGGGGAACTGAAGAAACGTTTTGTTAACTGTCAGGTTTTGTAAACATCTGAAAAGAGCTGTGACATGATTATGTTGATCAACTGGGATTTAAAATGTATATCTTTGAGGAGGACAGTAGCAGCGAGTTAGCTGAGTGAAATAAACATGCCTTGTGAGGGGAGGCCGTGGGTCCGTATGTGATGCACAGGTGTGAACAGGAGGGAAAAATAAAAAAGAAAAAAATATCAGTTGGAAGTTCTGTTGGTTCACTTTTTGTTGCTTAATGTGAGAATCTCTAGATGACGTGAAGTCAGGAAAAAAAGTTGACTGTGTTGTGAAAGCAGCTTGTGATTTGAAGGTTGGCAGAAGTCATGTTTGAAGAAGTGTTGTCGCACCGTCTGCCACGACCAAGCTTGTTGCTTACAAGGCTGGATGGGGAGTTGCTGCTAGTGCTCGATGCTGTCGCTGGTGTCTTCACTGCTGGTGTGCAAGTTGAATGTGCTGGGACCTCACTGCAGCTGCTTGTTTTTACTCAGAACTGAAGGTTGTCTGCCTAACCACCCCCTTCATAGCGCGGCCCATTAAACCCACACGGCAGTGGTTTGAGTGGATGTGCCCTGAGGCCCAGAAAGGAGCTATGGAACCAAGCAAATTTTATTCAGGAAGCAAACTGGCCTGGAGGTGATGGGTTGTAAAGCCTCACGCCTCTCATTTAGCAAAGTGGCATCTACTCAGGCTCTTACCTTGCCCTTAAGTTCTGGACTCAACGATAAGTTGTACTCATTGAGCTCACATTGTGATTTTAACTCTAGACATGTCTGCATAAAAGCTAAACATATGTATATCAGTCTCATTTAATTGTTTTAAATTTACTATTAGCTAAACTGCTGGAGGTGAGCGTGATCATGTCTGCATGTTTCTGTGGAGAGCATAATCATGTCTAGATGTTTTCATGGTGGAGGCTTTGGGAGTATTCATTCAGCTGCACCCATGCTGCTTGGGTGTACCACCCTCATTTTTCCTCTCTGATACCATAGTTTTCACCTTACGTTTTATTGCCTTCCCCTCCCATCCACAGTCTGAACTGTTTGTGTGCGCAATCCCTTATCTGGTTCAGCTGAAGCCAACCACGTTAGCAAATGAGGTGTTCAGGCCATGGGAAGGTGCCTGGCTCTTTGGCTGGGACTGATTTATGAGCAGCGGAGCTGGGGAGTTTGTGGGAACAGAAATCATAAGCTGGGGCTGAAAGGTTAGGGGGAGGACAAAGTAGCACAGTTGTCCTTGGGAAAAGTCAATTGTCTACAGCCAAAGCTTCGATGAGGAGATAAATTCAGACAGTTAATTGTAGTAGTATATTTTAAATTATTAAAAAACAGTTTTACAAATAAATTGTTTGAACCCGACATCAAGATCCTTATGGTTGTGAGGCAGTTGTTAAATAATAAATTAGGTTTTGGCCAGGAATACCTGCTGAGGTAAGTCTT